CCCGCCCCCCCCCCCCCCGTGCCCTCCTTCCCCCCTCCCTTCCCCTGTTCCTGGCCGCGCTCCCCTCACCTTGCAGTCCCTCAGCTGCACCATGGTCTCCGCTCCCTGCTCTGCCCCTCGCGCCGCAGCCCGGGCCAGCCCCCAGCAGGGAGACACCGCCCCAAGCGGGGCGGGACACAGGGCGGGGGCGGCAGCGCCCCGGGCAGGCAGCGGCCCCGGGGCTCGGCTCACAGCAGGCTGCGGCAGAGGTTACCCGCGCTCCCACGTAGGGGGCAAAAGACTGGGCTGGCCAAGAGCCTGGCTCAGCGGGGGGAGGAGCGGGCACGTGGCCCGGTGTAATGTAGAAAGCTCCTAGCTGGAGATTGTCCTACTTCCCGCTAGTTTCTGGGTACTGAGCATGGGCAGACACACTGAGCATGCTCAGCCTTCTCTTGCAGCCATTGCCCTTCTCTCTGCCTCTCCTAGGGCTCTGGAGCTCCAGGGGGTCGCTGAGTTAGTCTATGTAACAGGATAAACTTAAAACCCCAAAACTGGGCTGGTAGCACTTTATAGACTAACAAACCATGTAGATCGTGTCGTGAGTTTCCTTCAGATGAGCAGAGTTTTTGCTTAGTCCATGTTAAAAGCATTTAAAAAGGGAGAAAAGTGGCTCAACAGAGGAGGTGGCTTAACATTGCCCTGGCAAGGGGCTAAAGCAGATGCAGGCAGGGTTAGGATCTGTTCTGGGGCAAACTCAGGTCTGGTGGGGGCAGGGGAGCCAGGTAAACTCTTCAACACAGAGTGCAAAGTGCACAGGCACTAATAAACCATCTTGTTCGTCTTTAAAGTGCTACACAGTCCTGTTTTTTGTTTCAGCTACCCCAGACTAACACGGCTACATTTCTATCAGGCAGAGCAGGAGGGCTAAAAACAGCTTCCCCAGTGGGAATGAGGCACAAGTCAAAGGGTAGCTGTGGCAAGGGGGCTTTTTTATTTGCTTAAACATTTTTTTAATCATTTATTCACCTTGGAGGCACTGAGCATGCTCTGAGGCTGTAGTTAGTAATTGAGCCTAGGAAAGTTGTGGAATCTCCTTCACTGGAGATATTTAAGAGCAGGTTTGACAGGCATCTGTCAGGGATGGTCTAGAACCGTGGTCCCCAACCCGGTGCCCGCGGGCGCCATGGCGCCCGTCGGGCTCTTTACATGCGCCTGCGGAGCAATCTGGGCTGGCAGGTGCCAGCCCCGGGCGCATGGCCAGTCCCGGCCCCGGGTGCGCCGCGCGTGCCGGTGCTGACCTGGAGATATTTAAGAGCAGGTTTGACAGGCATCTGTCAGGGATGGTCTAGAACCGTGGTCCCCAACCCGGTGCCCGCGGGCGCCATGGCGCCCGTCGGGCTCTTTACATGCGCCTGCGGAGCAATCTGGGCTGGCAGGTGCCAGCCCCGGGCGCATGGCCAGTCCCGGCCCCGGGTGCGCCGCGCGTGCCGGTGCTGAC